TCCTTGTCTTAATCCGAAGCGGGTCAAAGTGTCACTCGACCACAACTGGATGACACAAATAATACGTAGAAAGATGCGTGTCGTTGCGTAGAGAAAGAGTCTGATCCAGACTTTATGTATGCTTTGCTTTACGTACTTATTGTCTAGGCATACGAAGTACCCACCCATGTTTTGGCCGACAGCAGTCTCATGAAATCTCTATAACTGAAAACAATTGTAGAATTAAGATGAATCCAGAACAGGGAGGGTGAGATACCGAGTGTTGCATGCAGGGGATCATCTAGTCGATGAGAGGATTAAGCCCTTGTTCCCAACCGCAACAATCTTTGTCTAGAACGAGCCTGTCAACCCCTCGGGTCGACCGGCGATCTCACACGAGTCTTTTATATTCCGCTCCGAGTGCAATATGTACGGAGTACAGCTCGTGGGCACTGTTTAACTAACTAGAGATTCTTACCAAGCATATGACCCAATTTGGAAATGGCTGAAGACACGGACCAGCTTCAAGCCTGTCACTGCGATTAGCTCGCTTCCTGCGATAGGAAACTACGGTACTGTCGCGCTCAGATAGCGCAGGTCTTAGGAACGCGGCAATCAAATTTTAAATTAATCAATTGACTCATTGGAGTGGTTCAGTGTATCAAGACTACGCGATATGATCTCCTCTTTAGGATCTAGTGCGAAGCGAAATTGGTATAGGATCCAAAATGAGTCCAGAGCCAGACAACACCATTGATCTAGTATGCCAAGATTGTTCTTGATGAGCAATGATCTGTTGTTTACCATGCTAATCATGAAGGGATTAATGGGTCGACTCCGGTGGGAGAAAGTTTCCTGCCTACTGGTGGGATCATGCACCAATGCTAGACATGCAGCGAACTATAAGAACTACTGCAATGGATCAATCAATCCCTGTTACCGTTGCAATTGGGCTTGGAGGGGGGGGGACCGATTTCGGGGTTTGTTGCACATACATGAACCTACCCGAGGGGGCGCAGTCATCCACGGTGGATGATAACAACAAATAGAACTACGGAGTACGGAAGAGAACGAGCAAGATACATTGAATGGACCCTTTCCCCAAGCAGATGCTGGGTCGAGACAAGAGGATGAGGATTTGCATGGAACCGAGTCAATCCCCCTCCCCCTCTCTCTACTACTGATCTGATGATGCTACTGAATCATTGTTTTTTTTTTTTTTTTTTTTTCTTTTTTCGGTTTTTGGTTTTCTTCCGGCAGTGGTGCAACTGATGCTGCCTGAAACTATCCGTCGGAGCGTATCAATTGATTCTCACGGGAAATAGTGTAGCACATATTGATTATTGCTCCACCCCTCATTTCCGCGATGCACGGAGAGGGAGAGAGGAGTGATATGATGGGACCACTTTTCTCACAGCTTCCGGGACAAATTGACAAATTGGTCATCCGTACCTAGTACGTAGTAAGTGATGAGGGTGAATATCGTTTGGAACTGCGACGAATGTCGTTTTACTAACTTCAAGTATGATAGCCAATCATCGAGTGACATCGAGCTACTGTACAATATTACTGAGTATCAAGGGCTATCAACGTTCAGCATCATCCAAAGCCTGGATGGACTCGATGGAGTATCTGCGGATCACACAAATTAGTATGGGGCAGGTCCCACGTGTCTTGTCCACCTTGCAAATCAGGTCGAGAAACCACTTCTGGTAAGGAGTATGGGTCGAGTCGAATCCCCCCTCCAATCCTCTCCCGTCTCAGGGAAAGGAAACTCGCTAACTTATCGATAGTAGCTTTGGCGTGCCGTGGGACATCCTCGTCTTCGGAATGATGCTTGTTTCAATTTGCTTGGAGAATGAGGGGCCGATTGAAGTTTGAATACAGTCGTCGGCTCGCGCATTAGACACACACTGCTCGTGGCCAACCAATTCATTCTACTCCCCGTCGGCTGTTGGTTCGTTTAGACGTCAGAAGCTCATTATCCAGGTCGGTCTCGGCACCAACATGCAAAATCGACTACGGAGTACTGTTTCAATTCTATGTACTGTTGAGAAGTGATACTTTTCTCATCGCCAAAACACGGGTAGACCTCCGTACAGTACAGGTTCTAAGCATGCTCGAGAGCTGAAACCGTCGCCAAGCAATACCAGAACCGGTTATCTTGCATTGATGCCGTGATTTTGGGTAAGTGTGCGTCAATTCCATGCACATATACGATGAACCCCTTTACCTTACCAATTGCTACTTGAGCATGGCAACAAGTAGAGTTCCTATATCGCATCACTTGGTCTCTCCATTCTTGTACTACCGATTGATATTACAAACACGAGACTCTTCGTTCTCATTTGCGCCGCGCAGATTCTAGTCCCAACGTCGCCCGTCTGCACGGTCCTTTTGCTAATATTAATCCTCCCATGTGGACAGTGGGCAGGGTGGTCTGAGTCAAGCGATATGGTTCCTGGCTGATCCCAATAAGAAGCTGTCAAGAATAGTATCATTCAAAGTTAAACAGTCAGGTTCACATAATTGACCAACTATACTTGCTCTGTATTATAGCTAGTGTTTACTTGGCAAGGGCATTCTGATTGTCATTACTAGTCGCTTCTAGGCTCGAAGTCACTGTGTCAATTGATAGTCTACGCACCAGAGAGCTGCATCTCGCTGCTATATTGAAGAGCCTGTTTAACCTATTCAACTTGGGATAGTATGCTATGGCATAGTCTTTCTCGATGTGCGATTGACAGGCAAGAGCTGCATTCTAGAAGTAGTAAAGTATGCCACACCCACAAAAGCGTGCTACCCAGAGCAGGTTTGATAATGGAGTTCATCATCGTCAGTCAATGAATCATTTTCCTACTCCTCAATTCACGTCTCCTGCAGAGGACATGGCAATCGATCGTGGAGGAGAAAGTAAAGTCTCGGAACTCACCACCAAAGTAATAGCAATACAACAGACTGTAACGGTCTGACAAAGCTTCATGGCCATTGTCTACAAGCATCCTAGCCAGTTCCCATAGAACATAGAATACTTCAATGCGGTAGCATAGCTATCTCACCCAGAACGAGAATAAGCTGTACCAACACAGAAGGCGGTGATGTAGCATGTCTCCCATCCCAAGGCGGTCAACCATCAATAAAACCGATTTTTTGCATTTTTCTCTCCGCCGCGACAATAGCCATCGCAATAGCAAATCCTCCCTAACATATTTGTGATTCCTTGCGACCGTTGGTCCTGACTACTTCTTCTCGCTACTAGGGCTTCCTGTGCGATAGTTCTTGACGTCTGGTGCAACTTCCCACTCCCCACGCGCACAACCCACTTTCTATACCCCGCTTCACCTCTACCAGAAGGAGAGAGAGAGAGAGGTATGTCTATAAACTCAGCCCTTTAAACCAGTGCAACCCAGAACAACCTCCCATTCCTGCCAACGACTTGATATCTAACAATCCCTCTAGTAATACACTCCTCAGCTTCACTCAAACGTCCACCGGTCTCAATCCCATCCCCACCCTCGAAATTCACAATGCCCGGCTCCGTCGACCAAGAAAACGACCAGTCCATGATGGACGCCGCCCCGGAGCAACAGCACGAGCAGGAAGACGTCCTCGAGTTGGAAGATAAGCGCATTGTCGTCGTACGTCCCACCTCCACCCTTTCTCTCCAGCCGCTGGTACCATACAACCCAAATAGCTAACAGTTCCTGTGAAGTTACCCGGAGCCACCGAAACCGCCGCATCATTCCAGTTCGATGGAGAGGGACACACCCTGGGTAATGCGCTACGATACGCGATCATGAAGAAGTGAGGATAACCCTGACCGCCCAACAATCCTGGATCCGTCCCTGGATATCTTCCTTGGGCCTTCGGATCCCACTAGGGACTGAAGGAAGTGTAAAATGGATGGAGTCCGGCTAACATGTGAAACAGCCCCCGGGTTGAATTCTGCGGTTATACCATCCCCCACCCTTCAGAGACAAAGATGAACCTGAGAATCCAGACTTATGGTACGCATTCTCCCTCCCCGCGGCTTATATCTCGCCCACCCAAGGGATCAGGACAAACCGGTTATATACAGCAACTGTAAAAGAACTAACGGATAATCCAGATACGACAACGGCCGTCGAAGCCCTGGAGAAGGGTCTGGATACCCTGATGGACCTGTGCGATGTCGTCACGGACAAGTTCACCGTTGCGCGCGATGAGTTCAATGCGTCCAAGGTCGATCGCATGGAGTCGTAGATCCGTCCTTTTTGTTGTTTTCCTTGTAAATCTTTTGGGATTAGTTGGTCTTTCATCTTGGCGTTGTATTTAGAGAAAAGTTTCCATGATTTAGGTTGTCATAATGACCCCAACATTTTCTACATGATTGAGCTTTTTCCTCCGTGTGTGTGTGTGTGTGTGTGTGTGTGTGTGTGTGTGCGCATTGAGCGGTGTGTTTTCTCGGTTGGGAGGGAGATAGTACCTATTTTTACTACGAGTGAGCACGGGCGTACTTGAGGTTAAGTGTCTGCGTATAGTATAGATTAACCAATGCGGATTGAGCTTGCTGTCGATTCTGGTCATGCGGTGTCTGGGCTGGACTAGATGTGGTAATGCATGGCGCAGATGGTATCTTGCTTCTTAGCTAATCTTCTTGATATGCCTCTTCTCTCCCACGCTTGTACTTGTAGAAGTTGACCGATGCGGAGTCAAACATGTGGTAGTAGGTAACATGGCATGCATGGTAGAGCCATACTAATACCCCCTAACCTTAATGGATCTTTACGTCATGTGAAGAGCACCTCCACTGCTAAACCCGGACAAGCCACACACAGAACGACCCTACACCTCGTGATACACGAGTCCATTGCTTAATCTAACAACAACACCATATTTACATAGAGCGCGAGCGCACACTCATACCCTCTACCCGGATCTATCAGTTCACGGGTCTAAGCCCAGGGTTGTTCTCATAACTAGAAGGAATAAAAAAACTTTCAATGCTGCGGGATGATTTGAAGAAAATGGGAAACATGAGATTAATTGCGGCCTTCCAAGAAGCCGGAGATAAAGTTGGGGGGGAGGCGAGCACCGGGCTCCTCCTCCGGCCGGAAGTACTTCATCACGTGCGACAGCTGCTTCCAGTAGTTGAGGGTTTCCTGTATGATAAAGACCAAGATTAGTTGGTCTGGTTATTGGTATGTGTGATGCGACGTGCTGGAAGTCGTGGAGGTTTCGGGGGGTGGGTATATTGCATGGAATTGATGAGCCATTCAAGCTCTCCGATCCCAGATACAACATGCCGCATAAACACCCCGAACATCCCCAGCCCACATATCCTATCGTATTGGCCACATAGAGAAGACAACAACAAAAGTCCAAACTCACCTGGAACTCGGCGTGGCTCTGGTACAACAGCACGTCGATCACATTCAATTGGCTGACGTAACGGTGCTTCTCGAACTCCTGGCGAATCTTTGTCCGGATGGCGGAAACGGGCATGTCCAGGGAGTACATAGTCTGGATCTCGGGGGACTAATCGAAGACATCGCATCATGTCAATAGTCAGCTCGGGAGGTCTCTCTCGGGTATGTTTTCGAGGTGAAGTTTCTCGTCTCGCGGTCCCCGCGGGCTCTTCTGCGCGCCCTGGCGAAAGAGCTCCCTCCCTCCAACCAAAGGTGACAAGAGACGACGACGACAACAAAAAACCAGCAATTCCGAAATGCATCAATTATTCCAAGAGTGTCGAAGACTAACCGCTCTAAGCCATTCTCTGTAGGACCGGATGACACGACGCTTCGCCTCGGCCAGGTTGGCAGCTATACACGGGTTTTTCAAGGTCAGCTGTGAGTTCCGGCCATTGACGTCGCGCCAATTTCTAAGGGCGCCGGACCACCGGTGGATCGGAGGGGGGGTGTGGAAGGATGGTTGTGAGGGATTGGGATGTTCACGTACAGGAGCGAGTGCGCTGGGCGAGGAATGTGGGGTTGATGGTCATCTTGACAATGGGGAATTGAGGCAATTGATGGGCACAGCCTTGGACTCCGAGGTTTGGCGAAGAGATGGAGAAGAGTGGGTAAGTTTCTCTGTTCTGCTCGAGACGGACGCCTTGGGAGTTTAGCGTTGACGGGATTGGGAGGAGATCGAATGGGGGTCTAGTCTGGAGGTTGGCGCCGTTCCCCCACCTCACCGCCTGCCTCTTTCAAAAATTATTCTTTTTTCGGGGGCGCAAAGCTTGGGGGACAGAGGGTGTTGTTTTATGATCTTCATTCATTTGGACTGTGTTAAATTTCTGCAAATTCGGATCCTTTGTTTCTGTGTCAAGGAGATATACGCAGGTGATCCCGAGGAATTTGTGGCTCTATTGTCTTTGTGGACATAGACGTTCTCATCGCCCGCTTTTTTTTTTCGAATTTTCAACTCTTCAGCATTCCCAGCAGCATCAACACCCCGGTGTTCTTAACTTTTTTTTTCTTCCTCCAAAAACAAGACCAAGACCACAAGATGGCTCCGACAAAGTCCTCGGCTAAGGGCAAGGGCCCTTCGTCGTCCAAGGGAGACGCCAAGAGCAAGCCTCTCTCGTCCGCGACGAAAGTGAGCAAGAAGAACGTCAAGCGCCCGCCGCCCAAGGAAGTCAAGTCGAAAGCGCGCACGGAATCCAGCCTGCTGAAGAAGACGAAGAAGAGGGAATACACCGAGAAGGAATTGGACCTGCCTCAGTTGAACATGATCACGCCCGTGGGTGTGGTGAAGCCCAAGGGCAAGAAGAAGGGCAAAACTTTCGTGGACGATGCGGTATGTGATTTCTCACCACATATGGAGATCTGTGATCGTGGGGACCGTTGACTGGACCTTTTTGCTGATCTTTGGTCGCTTCTTACAGGAGGGAATGATGACGATTCTTGCCATGGTTAATGCCGACAGGGAGGGTCAGATCGAGTCGAAGCTAATGAAGGCCCGTCAATTGGAGGAGATCCGTGAGGCGAAGAGGAAGGAGGCCGAGGCCAGGCACGCGGAGAAAAAGAACAAGCTGGTACGTATCTTGCAAATCATTTCAAATGTGTGTTTGTGTTTGGAAGTTACTGACAAAGGATGCGGGGAACAGGAAGAGGTAAAACAATCGATTCGCAATAAGAAGCACAAGGGCGGCCCTAAAACCGACAAAGCGGACTCCGTACCCGACAAGTCGTCCAAATCGAAGGGCAAGAGAAAGAGCGTCTCATTTGCTTGATTCCGTTTCATTTTGTATAAAAGTAATGCTGTCTATATCAGGTCTATGTATCTAGATGGGTCTCTGGCGTTTCAACGGTCTATATCCTGCCAAAACAATTGCATGCATTCATGATGAAAAATCCCCCAACTTCTGAAGTATGCGACCCTCCAGATCCGCTAGAAGTACTCGCACATGATGCGTCTCTAGGGTGAAGAGGGTACGATCTTGATATCCAGCTTGCGCCGCACAGGGCCGAAAAGCGGCTTAGGCGTCTTATCGCTGTCTTGCGCAGGTCGCGCAATGTAAGGCGGGAGGCGATCGGGGTGCTCAACCGTGCCTGGAATGGTGTGATCCACTTCCTTGGCCATGAGGTTAAGGAAATTGGAAACCTTGAATAGTCAATACGCCGGAACAAGAAAAGTCGAGGCGAACAACGTACCGGTTTGACAAACCACCTGTCACCACCAAACTCAAACCAGCCGAGATGGCCTCCCCAGGAGGTGGTCGCCATGACACCATACGGGGTTCTGGCGATTTCTCCATATGGCAGAGCCTTTGCGCAAGCAATCTACTCGGCCGTCAGCACATGAAAGTGGTTCGAAAGTTAAGGGTGCTGCTGCTTACCGGGTCATCTTCGGCCTGGATTACGAAGAAAGGAATCTTGATTCCAAGCATAGAGTCGATGGAAGAGGCATCACGATAGTAAGCACCTTCCGTTGGGTAACCCCATGCAGGGCATTGCAGCGCTCTAAAAGTAATTGAGTCAGCAGTTGAAAAGCAAGTCTGCCCAGGACAGTCCATTACCGGTCGAATTCGTGCAAATAAGTGACGTTCCTGATTTCTTCGACGTTGACCAGTGGATTTAAGGCGACCGACTCCACATGCCTGGCATCGTTAGTTAGTATGATAGCTGACAGACGAGCTGAGGTCTTATCACATACTGTTCGAAAAGCTTCTTCATGCTCGATCCCATCACCTTGCTGTATACCTGAAGTCCCAACCAGCTGCTCTTCAAGTACTCCGAGCTGACCTCCAAATTCCAGGGGCTAGCACAAAGCACCGCTGCTTTCAACTGGCAGGCATCTCCCTCTTCGCCCAGGTACTATAACCGATGCATTAGTCGCTGATTCCAGATAAAGCACGTGCTCAAAACTCACGTTAGTGAGGATGTTTGCGCCCAAGGAGAAGCCGATTCCGAAAAGGGGCCGATTCGGGAACGTCTTCCGTAGCCATTTGACAGCCTGACGGACATCCCACGTGGCGCGGGCATTGTAGAGTATATTGGTGGTGATCTTGGTTTGCGAACAGCCCCGAGAATTGATAACGCACGCTTCCCACGATTTATCCTGGACCAGAGGCGCAACCACATGGCGCAGGTATACCTCATGTGATCCGCCGCTCAGGCCGTGCAGAACAACCAGCATAGGCTTGGTATCGTCCGATGGAAGCGCCGTGAATTCGTCTTCGGTAAAGAATGAGGTCCTCTCCGGTAGTCCCTCAGGCAGAGTATACTTTCTCTCTGGGTCAGAGGTCTGATCATTCTTGGACGGCTCGTAGGGATCTACGACGAAATCCACGGCAAAATGCCCATCGAACATCTGGTTGTCCGCCTCGAACATCCATCTCTTGTAGTAAACCGGAACGCTATCATACTTGACTGCAGTCCAAGCGGTCTGAAGGTGACCATTGAAGAGGAATGGATTGAGATCACAGGTTGCTGGTGTGGCTGTGCGACAGAGATCTGCCAGAGCTACCTGTTCCTTGGCACCAGACTTGCCATTTTTCCGGGTCAAGATGAGGTTATTGTCTTTGGCGCTGTAGAAGGAGACCCGACCACGTGGGCGAGCCCAGGAAAATAAGGCCATGGCTAGCAGACCCGAGAAAAGAAGAGGGATAGATAATGTGCTCAGGACGCTAAAGGGAGAGATGTCAACAGGCGACATGACGGTAGAAGGGGCTAGACTCCGAGGCAGCGGCGAAACATGCGAAATGTAAACTGTAAACCAAGGGGGAGGGAAAGTTGTTCGTTTACCCAAGCCTGAAAGATCGCTCTAAACACTGGTTCTAGAATTTCAATAACAAGAGACAAACTCGATATGATTGTACTTGCTAATTATTGTCCAATTGATAAGTAAGTAACAGAGACTTCTCCAAGTGAGGAAGTAGACTTTGCATTCCAGGCTGTCGTCACCTCACATGAATTTCTTCTTCTTTTTCTTCAAGAGGAGCCTCGGCTTGATTGCCAAAAGGGGCAATATCACTAATCAATCATCTTATCAGTGGCCTTATCGTGCCGATCAGTCAGCTCGGTTGCTGACTCAGTGTGTCTTACCCGCTATAGTTAGTCACTTTTAGTGGAGATCATGAGGAAATGCAGGAAGACGTCATTTGGACAAGCGCTCCCAAATCGGGCTCTTCTACTCTCAGTCGCATTGCTTATCGCTGCTTTTCTGTCATCCCCCCATCCCCCCATCCCCCCATCCCCCCATTCCCTGTGGGCTGTGCTACACTGAGTTGCTGTCCTGCTTCTCCTATTTTCAGAGATACAGCAGCATTCTCACAGGGCAAGGTAAGGGTTGCAGGTGGTTCGGCACTTTTAAGCTTCTCGATCCGGTAAGCCAGCCCCGGATGCGGAAGTTTAGTATAGAGTTCGGTGGAATAGCATCATAGACTCTCCGCGCCTGGTCGCGGTTGGGTGGCTTTCCACTCAGAAATTTACCATGATTTGGATTCGGAACACACCTCTGGTTCGATGCGGCCTTGGGTAGAGCTGCCCTCTTCTCCCTGCGCCGACACAGGATCTGGTCGCATGGAAGCTTGATTACTTCTTCCACTGTGACCCTGGCGCGTGCTCCGTTTGCGTGCGAATCGACAGCCTTGCGTGTGAACTACTTCAAGGTCAAGAGGCCCTCCTTCTTATGTCTCTTCTCTGGTTTTGATTTCTTTCGTCATGTGGTCCGCTTGATACCATATTTTCTACTTCTAGTACATCATGATGCCCGTGAGCCAGCAGAAAACAGGCTCGCTTTTTCTTCACCGATGAGCTTTTGTAGGATTTCGACAGAGAATCAAACCAGAAGAAATAAGCGCCTCAGCTGGGAACCATTCAACAAATCATTCTTGGCCGCGGCAATCCATGATTTAGGGCCCAGTGTCCCGCTCGATATGGCATATAGCTTACGTCGCGCTGCCGAAAAAGTGAAGATCATCGTCAAAATGAATCGGTGGACGCGGAGTCAGACCGCAGGAAAGGGTAGGGATTTCGATTCTAGCGGGCGATGCTTCTTTCTCGAACTGCCAACCGAACTACTATTGGCGATCATTTCCCATCTATCGGTAATACCCGAGGCTTGCCTAGCGCTGACATGCAAGCGACTTTACTCAATATCCGGGGCGATCCTGGGAGCCAAAGCTCTCCACTTCAATCGCGACTTCGCACCACTTTTTCACCACTACCGGAATGGCCACAATTTCGTCACCCCGCGGTGGCAATTCATCAGTCTGCTGGAAGACGGCCGCTGGCGGGCCTGCTCGAAATGTTTAAAACTACATCTACGGAGCTCGTTCCCTCCTCGCGAGCTGAGACGGAAGTCCGATGAGCGAGCATGCAACTTGGGTAACTCTGCGGGCATCGTGGATCTATGCCCATGCAAGAAGCTCACCTTCCAGGACAAGACGGATCTCGTACAGCTTTTGAAAACCCGACAGAGATCAGTGGACGCCCTTACCCTGCAGTTTGGGAGCGGCATTCAGCAGCAGCGCTTTTGCTGGCACTCCTGCAAGGAAAACTATGGATCCACGCAGCTTGAGATTGCGATCTATCCTGAGCTGGACCAAGACGACTTGTTGAGGATACATACAGAGTATCATATGACAACAGGGACTGGCCAGCTTGGCAGAGAAGAACACATCACCCCTCGCTTTGGATGCGCTCACCGATCAGTCGACTTGTGGTTATCCAGTGTCTGTCAGACCACCATCTGTCGTCTCTATGACAGCCACTGTGCCTCGTGCAAGCGGATATCAGTCTGCAACACATGCAACGCCTCTTTGAGGTGTCCTCGCAAACAGCCCTGTCGGATAGATGAGGTGATGGACAAAGCTACCTACCATTTCTGGACCGAAAGGTGCCTTGGAGGCACAAGTTCGGTTCCCGATCAGGCATGGGCTTCTCAGCGGATACACCCCGCGGAGAATCTGTTTGATGCTACCAATTGCAGTGAGATGTGTCCTTGGACTATTCGAGAACATCCTCCTCTGGAAGAAGCCCCGACTTTGGGGATGAACATACTTGAGCCTGCGATGCAAGACCAGTCGCTCAACCAATTATACTCTTCAATCAACATGATATAGAAAATTGGCGAATGGGCTCCCTAGAATGAATGGCGCTGGGCGTGGTTCGGGGTCTATTTGATTATGTCCACAGTCAATCCTGTGTGGTGTTGTGGTTTTTTTTTATTTTTTTATTTTCTCAAGTTTGCGTTGAGTTGGGCTTGGGTAGGAGGAGTAGGGGCTGCTATACTTACTATATATCTTCCTTTGGGCTATGTGCAAACTTTTGTCCGCAGTTATATGTTCATGTAAACAGCTGAAGATGAATTGTCAGTATCGATGAACTTAGAGCAGAGAATGTTTAATAATTATAGGAATACTGGGACTAAATTCCCAAGGGGTCAAGGCATCCCTTCAAGTTCCCCACCTGACCATCCTGACTGATCGGACCGCGTGGGGAGGTTTCTCCGAACCCGACGCGGAAACGGACATGGCCGCGCGATTGTTCAAGAAGACCAGGACCGCAAGAAGCAGTGACCGCGCAAAAGGAATTCCCAACTTCCAGTCTCCCTCAGCACAGCTTACTTACAATCGGGATTAGCAGAGCGCAGTGGATAAATGAGCATCTTCTGCGTCCTGGGGCGATGAGCTACCCACCACCCCACAACGGCCAATATCCTTCGCAATACATGCAACACCCCCCCAATCTCCCGCTCCACCACCAGCAGACCATCCACCCGCAGCAGCTCCTTTACGATAACAATGTCAACACGACTGCTTCGCCATATCAATATGGCAAACAGATTGTCTACCCTCAGGTCATGATCCCGGCCTATCCTACCTACACTCAACCCTACGCTCCGCAGCAACCACAGCAACAACAACCACAGCAACGACCACAGCAACAGTCACAGCAGCAGCAACCACAATATGTGAATCCCTCCGAGCTGTTCCAACCGCCCCCTCTTCCGGCTACCTCACCTCCTCGATTCTTACACACTTCGTCCCAGTACAACGCGACACCTGCAGTCACTGTCACTGACAGCATACATTCCCCTATACTTTCCACTTCGACCCCTGCTCAGCCTGCCTACTATGCCGATCCAAGCCCCGACCCAGGGAATCAGGCCTCCTACAACAAGAACGCCCAAGCTACGTCGAATCCACCAGTGGTCTCAGCACCATCTGTGTCAGCACCCTCTGTGTCGGCACCACCCGTATCAGCACCACCTGTTCCAGCATCACCTGTGATCGCCGCGCCCGTTGCTGCTATCCCCATCGCTGCTAAAGTGGCTGCGACTAAGTCCGTATCTGCAACCCCATCGGCTCCATCCCCAAAGCCCGTCCAGGTGCTCATTCCCGCACCTTCACCAGATGTGCAGCAGAAGCTGCAGCGACAGTCCCCCACAAAACCCACCCCCAAACAAACACCGCAGCACCCGATGAAATCCTCCACACAGAAATCGGCCAAGACCCCCGACTACCAGCTGTTGCTGTTGGCTATGGCGGATGAGTATCTCGATGCGGCGCACAACCATGGGACCATGGTGGCCTTGCTAAGACGGGAGATGGACATGGAAGAGTACTATAAACTGGTGGCAACAGGTCTCGGATGCTTAGAGGCGGTATTAAAGGTATGAGAGATAGCTTGAGTCAGACTTGTTCTCTATGGTCGTTAACCTAATTTAGAACTGGAGACTTCAACCTCGAGTTGAGGCTCTTGTGCGGTTGCGCTATGCGCGGATTCTGTTCGAGGAAACAGACAATGATCTCGAGGCTGAGACAGCTTTGAGCAAAGGCGTATGTATTCATTCTCTGCCCCCACTTCTCGAGTGCCATGGCTAAGGTCTGTTCCAGATTGATTTGTGTGAGCGCGTAGGTAAATCCGAGCAGATGATGAATGATTCAAGCTTACACCGGACTAGAACCGCATGTTAGATCTGAAGTATAGTATGCAGCATCTCTTGGCTCGGATGCTACACAAGACGAACCCGAAGGCCTCAATGAAAGCCGTCGATGGCATGATACAAGATGTCGAAGCGTGAGTTCCTCAAATCGCGAACGTTGGAGATTCTTACTAACATCAGCAGTTATCGCCATTCGGCCTGGGAATATGCCTTTCGCTTCCTTCGCGCATCGCTCTCACTCTCTTCCCACGCCCATCAAGATTCTGTCTCAGCACTACAACACCTCCATAAAATAGCCAGCATGGCCCATCGCAATGGTGACAAGGCCGTTTCAGCTATGTCTGCTATAATAGAAGCCCTTGCACATTTGCAGCAAGGCACCGGGTCCGACGCGATCGAGCAGGCTCAACGCGCAGTGGCGGCAGCACGAAGCCATCAGTTGAACGATGATCTTCGTCACATTCCGCAGCTTACGACGCTGGTCCAGATTGTCGACATATGCTGTAGTCTTTTGGACTACGACGTCAACCAATCGTCTCAGAAGCTGAAAGTCATGCAAGACATGATGGATGAGCGATTAAATGACTCAAACTGGCGCGATGACGGGTCCTTTTCCATCCCTCTGAGTGGCAAGTCGGCTGGTCCTTCTTCCATTGACACCGGAGATATTCTCCAGGTACAGAGCGGCACCCTATTGTTGAGCTTCAACTGGCTCCCGCAACACGACCTGTATGCACTTTGCTATTTCCTCAGCTCCATCACTCTCAGCTGCAAAAACTCCTATGACGGACGCAAAGCGGAGAAGTTCCTCCAAGAGGGCATACGCATGGTAAAAGGTTAGTCGGCTGCGATTTGTGGTTCTCTTTCTTTCTCTTGACCTCACACTGACCCGGCTGCCTGCAGGAAGTTTCAAAGCGCCACAAGAAATTACTGAGTCTGTGGTAAATGCTAACAGACGCGTCGAATGGCGCCGAACCCTCTACTGCAGTCTCCTCGTTCAACAAGTCTTTCTCGCCTGCGGTCGCACCGACTGGGATCTGGCCACGAAAACGTTACACGAATTGCGACAAGAAGCCCTAGGTCTCGGTGGCCAGCTTCCGGAGACCATCAAATGCATGATGGACTACGCGAGCGGCGCCATCGCCCAAGCGACAGGCGATTTGGATGCAGCCCTCCAGGTGTTCCAGTCCACAACCCTCTCTCTGCACTCCTCGTCCACCACCACCAGCAAAGGCGCGCGCAACGACCCCCGCCGGGACCTTGCGATACTATCCGCGCTAAACACCGTCCTCATCCTCAGCGAACCATCTCACCCGTCCCATCACCAACTCCCCGCCATCCTAGCCACCGTCGAACCTTTTTGTACATCTAGCCCCAGTAAATACATCCAAGCCGCCTATTACCTCGTCTGCGCTACCGTGCAGACCGAATCAACCATTCAAACCAAACAACACCTTCAACAAGCCCTACAATCGGCCACAGCCATCAGCAACAGCCAGATTACCTGCATGACCCTCACTTTCATGAGCTGGAAATACTTCCGCGGCGTCGTCGGCGAGCAGGCCGAGAAGAGCGCCCGGGCCGGTCGCGCCATGGCCCGAAAGGCCAACGACCGCCTTTGGGTCAGCGTCACCGACGAAATGCTCGCGGAGACGCTGGAGCGGCAAGGCAAGAACGAAGAAGCCTTGGGAGTGAGAGAGGAAGGCCATCGGGTGATGAACGGCTTACCGGCGGCCCTAAGGAGGGCTGTCTAATGGAGGTTAGATCTGGTTATTTGTCAGAGAGAGAGAGAGAGTGTGTGTGTGTGTGCATGTGATGTCTCATTACATTGTCCTGATATAGAGCGTCTTATGTCCTTTCTCATTTTCTAGGGGTTGGCTTGGGTTGGGGTTTTCTGACTGGGTGTGTTATCGTGCTACTCCATCTTCTACGATCGCCCATATTTGGCGTGTATGCTCTCATAGTATCATTGTTTGCGACAAGATAGAGCCCGTAGCCCCCCAAAATTGGGCTCGCTTTCATCAATTGGTACCATTCTGGTTCTCTGTGTGCGCGGGTGTTGAGATGTCATTTTCTTTTGTTTGCGATACCGTTTAAGGGATCTCGCAACGGCCATATACTAGTAATTCATCATTGGGGAACACGTCTCCCAAAAGTCGCAACGCGAATCACTCCCACTTCCCATACGGGTATTGAATAATTCCATACCCTCGGTGACGCCAGACAAGCAAAGTAGATAGCTAAAAAATGAACCGCAACCCTAGGACTAACCTACGGCCCCTGACCAGCCTGAGAATGAAGCATGTTCGACAAACAGCAGTGATTAAACAGATTAGGTTGGATATGCTTCATTGTATTATGATACACATGCATCATGCGCATGCGCATGCGCAAGGCGCGCACGAGTACGATCAACATGAATGTAGTCCAGACATGCCCAGTAGTGCATAGATCATCAAGCCGTCTAGAGCTGCCTGACAGCTAGCCAGAAAAGGAGGCACCGATCACCGCCGCGACAGACAAACGAGGGACAACATTCAAAAAAAAAAGGAAACACCATAGAAACACACCCGCTATACCAGATCGTCGCCGTCGCGGGTCGATGGCTGACTTGGATTATCAAATCTATCGATAAATAGATAGATGGGGGGAAATTTGACATTTGTAACTCCGTTCACCTTGGATTTTCTCCGTACGCCTGCGTGCAAGAAGCCCTATACACCCAGCTGAGTAAGGAAAGGAAAAGCGATGACGCAAAACAACATAATCCGGAACCCCCTGAGAGTTTTGATAGAACAGAAGGTATGCAAGTCGAGTCTCGGGAACAAAGAGAACGGTAGGTAGAATCTGAGGAGACAAAGTGAGATCTTCGAGCCGGGAAGATCCCGCATGCGAAGGTTGAGTGGGTGAATTTTGGAGGAGTGGTGAGTTAGAGGTCGAGATCTCGGATTAAATAAAGACGGTTTCCGCTTTTGATGTGTTCCACGAGAGCCCGCTACCTTTAGCTCGACTGCTGCTTCATTCTGTTCCGATGATCTCAGGTGGTCCTGAAAACGGGTTATAAGCTCTAACCAACCATTGTCCGTCAGATAGAAGATGGAACAGCAAGAGACGCCATTAATGAAATGAGATCGGATGTTGTTTTTCTCTAATTATTTCAGGCATGTTGGAAAAAGAGAACCCCGTCTAACCCAGACCACCCCAGACACCCCGGATGCGTCGAGCAAGCTGGATATCCTTCTGCATGATGGTCACGCGCTTGGCATGGATGGCACAGAGATTGGTGTCCTCGAAAAGATGGACCAGAAACGCCTCGGCGGCTTCCTGAAGAGCCAAGATCGCATGCGATTGCCAGCGCAGCTCGGAGCCGACTTCGGCGGGGAGAAGATCCAAGGCAACCTCGCGGACCAGTCGCGCGAATGGTAGCTTTCGGATGAGCAGGTCGAATGAGCGTTGGTAATGGCGGATCTCCTTCAGGGCAACCGTTCCAGGTTTGTACCGGCGACGACGACCTGTGGGGGTGGGATCACCCGCTATAGGATCCAGTCAGATGCTTGGTTCTGGAGATGGTCGAGGAGGGCAAACATACGTTCAACATTGGATGTCCTGGGCGCTTTAGCCGGTCGCTTGCCTTTGGTGACACCCGCAGGTTTACGCCCGCGAGCGGCCGGGGTTGTGGTCGTCGCAGCTGGGGCAGTTGACGGGCCGGCAGCAGCGGCGGCACCATCATCAGTAGCAGCAGCAGTAGTGACGGCGGCGGCGGCGGTTGATTTCCGTGGCCCAGCAATTGACTTGCGACCGCGCCCTGTCTTAGGAGGCATGTTGAAGTCTGTGTTTAATCGGTATACCCGGGGATGACGAACAAAGTGGTCAATGTGAGAGAATTGGCACGAGTCCCTCCTGCTGCAGCTTGCAGACGGTCAACCACTTGGGTATGACCGTGAGTCTCCGGGTGGGATCGAGTCGCGAGTGCAAGTTAAAGAGGTGTGGCAGGGAAGACAAGTCTCGAGAGCCAAGAATGTTGTTGTTATTGTTGTTGTTGCACCGTTTGTTTTGATATTTTTTTAGCTTTGGTCCGTCACGAACCGCCGGGACAGCCTTGCTTGGTAGACTCTGCAGACTTTTGTTGCAATTCTAAGTTGGGTTGGGGATGAAAGGGCTCAGAAAACTGGTAAACGGTGGTTAACTTATTGTAAGTACGGAAGTACTCCGTAAAGTGTATGCAATCGGATGAAGGTGGGATTTGGAGATCCCAGCCACCTGCATTATTTCCATGAGTGACGCGTGGGGGACCGCGTTCCGTCTCGGCTATAAGCGCGCGCGCGTGTGAGTTTGCATAGCTTACTAAGTGGTTAAGAAGCCATCCACTTACTAAGGAGCTGTGATCTGGCCTCAGGCAAAAAGGCCACCTAGCTGGAAGCTCTTTCTCTGTCTTTTCCGCCAGTGAGTACCTTAACTTATCAGCTCAGCTCAGCACAGCACAGCACACCTCCCAATCTTATCAGTTGTCAAGTGGCCTACTCCGTACCTCACCATCGATCCTATCCCATTCCTTTACTTTCTCTTCCCAACCCATCCCGTGCCAATTCCTCAGCTTCTCCAATCAATTGCTACTCTTATCTTACCTACAGTACTTAGAGAAGAGATAGAACATCTCAATCTCGCTCATCCATTCCGCATCTGCACCTTCAAGACTAACATACTCCACTCCAGAACACAATGGCCGCCATCTGGGGTAACGGCGGGCAGGCTGGCCAATTCCCGCTTGAACAATGGTTCTATGAAATGCCTCCCGTGACACGCTGGTGGACAGCGGCCACCGTTGTCACTTCGGTATTGGTTCAGTGCCATGTCCTTACTCCCTTTCAGCTATTCTACAGCTTTCGCGCCGTATATGTAAAATCTCAGGTATGTTGCGCGCAGTCCGGAGCAAAGGCAGGCGACCGCTGCCTGTCGTTTAGTGATAGTGATAGTGACGACACTGTAGCTAACCGTGGTGCGCAGTACTGGCGCTTACTGACCACTTTCCTCTACTTTGGACCATTGAACCTCGATCTACTGTTCCATGTCTTCTTCTTGCAGCGGTACTCGCGCCTTCTAGAAGAGTCGTCGGGTCGGTCGCCCGCTCATTTCTCTTGGCTGCTGTTCTACGCCATGGCCTCTCTTCTTTTGCTTTCGCCATTTCTCTCGCTGCCTTTCTTAGGAAGCGCCCTCTCATCGAGTCTTGTGTACATCTGGAGCCGTCGCAACCCGGACACTCGTCTGAGCTTCCTCGGGATGTTGGTGTTCTCGGCGCCCTATCTCCCCTGGGTATTGATGGCGTTCAGCCTGGTCGTCCACGGGATTGTGCCCAAGGACGAAATCTGCGGTGTTGTGGTCGGACATGTCTGGTACTTCTTTAATGATGTCTACCCATCGCTGCATGGTGGACATCGGCCTTTCGATCCCCCGGCCTGGTGGGTACGTCTGTTTGAGCCCGCGACTGGCGATGGGAATGGTGGTCTCGCTGCCACTGCCGCCGCCGCACCCGAAATTCGATGAGCGGTTGACGAAGGCTGAGACTTGCAAGTGGAATGCATGCCGGGAAAATCGCCGACCGAGGCCCTATCACCTCTGAAGCACACGAGTCTCTTCCCAACCAGAAAATTTCTCGATTGAAGACCGCGATGTGCAGGGGACATGCGCACTTGGAAGTACAGAATACAAACAACCCTTCGATAATGGCAGCATCTCTGCATGTTGGGTCACTCACTCAGATGCGTCGGGAGGTCATTTGATATGGTATGGTGATGCGGTGCAAGGGCTATTTGCGCCACTATCGCTTTCTTGTTCGACTACCTGGGGGTGCTATGCAGCCTGCCGCATTGTCGATATGTTGCACGTGGGCGCAAGCATCAAACTCATTTGCTGGCTAGGTCGAGCGAAAGATGTGGTCTTTTTAAAGGGGAATGAAAGTCTCGAGCCGAAGATGCCCGGTGAATAAGCGTGACCTAGGCATCTGTCGGAGAACTTTGTGACATTGTTTCTTTTGCACGTTGAGCTCTTTAGCGAGTTACATTGGATATACCCCTGTTGTAATGCAAACATTGATCACGTTGTGATATGGTTTCGGAAAGAAGAGAACTCAAATAGGTCCTCCAGCAAATGAGAAGGTGGGGAGGATAACTGATACTAAGTAAGTATGTGCCTTAGACTGCATAGCAGGGTACTGAACGGCTGGCTGGCCTGCCCACGTGTACTGTAGATCCCCAATGCCGGGGTAGAAAATCTCCGCATGATCGGGGAGCGGGTGGGCTTAACCGCCGCCGACGACATACTATGCAAGTTACTATATGTGATAAAGTCATTCGACTCTGGCCTTGCGCTTGGATCTCTCACCTATTGCATCTCCATCCATGTGCCACCACACTGGCCGTCTCTACACAATGGGTCTTTCACGAGAAATCGGTCAGGGTTCCCAGCGAAGCCAGAACCTTCTTCCTTGGCCCACGTAGTGATCATCGCTAGACTTGTTGATCCCCAACAACCTCGCATTGGTTGGTCCATCCCTAGGGTATAGCATCCAAATTTCATAAGCGGCGTCTGGGTTTCCCACGGCGACAACCGGGGGAGAAAATCAACCATGCAGGTGGGGTGGGTGAAGATGATGCTATTGTCACTTTGTGGCCAGACACGGGATGCAGGGTTGTTGGGAGAGACCGACGACGTAATGTACAAATGTAGAAAGTCCCTTTTCCTGCCTCAGGCAGAGAAATTGATTATCCAGAGGTAAGAATTGAGTAATCATGTACGGAGGCACTACAGTACATTTTAGGTAGGAGGATTATCGTGGGATTAAACTGCGATGTGCGAAGTCGCGAATCTATTCGTACAGTAGGAGAATTGATCGTCGCTGCTTCTTGAATTGAGGTGCAACGGGTGGTCGCAAGGGGCAGGGTCCAGCTGGGGAGGGGAACTTCAGTGTACGCCGGGAGTATCTATCCGTCGCCCACAAAAGAGACCGAGTTAAGGGGGATGTTTCATTTCTGTTGCATATGAAGCCAAGATTTCTAATATCGGGGGGCGAGGTCTGGATCGTTGTCCATGTGTACAGTATTTCTGTACTCAACACCTTGGCATTGTTGCTGCTCAAGGCAGTGTACGAGTACGAAGGTACAACAGCCTGGGACACAAATGCGGTCGGCAGAAATCCACCGCCCGGCGACGAGCGACCGGAGAAATTGTCCTTGGAAGTTGTAACGAAAAGGTGAAACAGCCGGTAATAACTTAGCTGGTCTAGCTCAACATCCACCACGGCACCATCTGCTTGTCCACGCGTCTGACAGTCTAATCGGCGAGTAGGACGAAAGGATCTGACTTAAAGCATGGAACCTTGACAAGCCGTGGGTCGACGGGGAAGCCATTGAAGGAAGAGTGGACCGACCGGGCGATTCCTTTTGGTTTTCTCGGTGTTTAGAAATGGTTTTGTCGAGGGTCGTCTAGCAGGCGAGCCGAGGTTGGGTCAAATCTGGGGATAACTCTTTTTTTTTTTTTGGCTCTTCACGAGTAAATTTGTCCCCCTCTACGGAGAGTGGCAAAACAATCAGGTGTCATTATCTTCGAGAGGTCGAATGGAGGGTCAGCTGCTCACACGGATACATACATCCTCCTGTTCTATTATACTCGGTAGCTTTGATGCTCATCCGACTCGACTCGACTCAGCTCGACTAGACGAATAATCTCTCGAATTGATATCCCAAATCTCCATCTGTCAAATCTCACTCACAGGTTTGTGGAGCCCGGAGGAAGCAGTTCACTAGTCGAGGTCCCACCCATTCCAGAATCCAGAGAGTCGGTCGGCGAGTCGGCGGGAAAGTCGCCCGGTCGCCGGTAATCGTACTCGTAAATGCATACCCGTTCCGACGGAGTTTGGTTCGGTTGTTGGCTGGCCTTGGAATACTCAACGAGGCTCAGCCTGTGATGAACGGTCGTGCACAGAAACGATGATGATGTAGTGCCACACACTCGTTGTGGCTGGGAATCCTGGAACCTATTCTACTACGTACTGTGTGGCAAGCAACCGTCGACCTTGGAACTGGCTGGCCTGGTTTTTCTTCTGCCTAGAGGGGTCCTGTTGTTGCTCATGTTATTGTTTATGCCCCGGTTCTTATCTTCGATTCCTCTCACTCTTTCGCGATAATGTCACCATGTGATAGGATCCGTGCTAGTGCACTGTCTTCCATGTCGAGGATCTTGTTGTCACAAGGTGCTTGTCGCACGCACACTGATAGAGGTCGTAGGAAGTGAAGTTGCCTAAACCTGCATGAATACAGTATGAGCCACCAGCCAATAGCATTGGAAAGGTAAATTGGTTCTATCTGTCGGCTTCTTTATGCAGCAGACCTGCATGCGCAAGCCGGGGGCATTGGGGTGTTTTACCTCCGTTCCAAACTTAGATCCTTGGAAGCATGCTCCGGGGCAATGAGCATTGCGAGACCCGAGATCAACTGCATCCCGCATGCTGACCTGACACACGCAGCTTTTGAGCTGAAATCAGCCAAGTAAGGAACTTCGTCAGGGATTGAGAAGTTAAAGACAGTAGTCAACTCAGGACCACGGTCTTAGTCAGCGGGAAATTCGCTTGACTGTCAAACACCTAACTACGAAGTTCTCCGTACTATTGACACAAACACTCGAATGCGGTCGCAATAACAACGTTCAGAATTGAGATCGATTCATCAATAGACTAGTAGTTTAGGGCTTTCTCAGTCTGTACTCACAATTGCCCGCCTAGATTCTCCGACTTGCATGTACAAGGCTACGTATAGACATGATCAGATCA